AACGAATGGATGGAAATCAGGCAAGCCATTCAACGATCCAAGTCAAGACATAAGGTGATTATCGAGGACACCATCAGCGATCTCATCAAATGGATGTCCAGGTATGTCGTGATCCCTGACAGGCCATCTCTGAAGAAAGGTGGGAAGAAGAAAATCAAACTCTCTGATCCTAATGATGGACCATTCCTAAGTAACGAACATGAAACAAGGTTCTCCTTAGATTAAGTCATGAAGGGTCATTAGAGTATAGACATTTCTATGCTGAATCTTGACTTGCCAGATAAGGGTCCCTATACACCCAATGTTGTGCATTTTAAACCTGAGTTAGGATTTATATTCCTTGACTATGAAGGTGAAGTCAGATTTCAGAGAATGTCAGAGCTACATCTATGTCCAATGGGTCATTTGGTTTACCTCTTACTCTGGATACATGATAGCATGCCTGGAAAAATCATTGATCTGAAGATACGAAGGGAATGCCTACATCGAAGAAACCTTGGTGAAGATGTACCTAGCTACATAGATCTAAGTGTTCTAGAACAGTTTCTCTTTGTAACAACAATCTACTTTTCCTTGTAAATTTTTGTACTATGTCTACTTCCAGTGATTATTCTTATAGTCTGTAAGCATTAGACATGTACTGAACTACTTGTAATATTACCATTAATAATAAAATGAGTATTTCATGTACTTCACTGAAAAAGATCCCTGAAAAAGTAATAGGGACACAAGTCTATGAGTTTCAGTGTTACTTTTTACATTCACTGACAATCTATAAGTCAGTGAATATGCTTTCAGTTTTAGTTTCCATACTTGTAATTTTCTCTTTGATATAACTTAAGGAAAATTTTCAAGCAAAGACTAACTCACTAAAAATGATCCCAAAATAGTAAAAAGGGACATGTACTTTATATGTAACTTTTCCTTACTGTTATTTGATAAGACAACTTTCTTTATGTTATCTTGTTATCATCAAATAGGGGGAGATTGTTGATCCTCTCTCTCAGTGATTTGATGATAATCCCTTTTCACTTATACGTTGTATTTATGAATCTGTCTTTCGAGTTCCAGCGATCATCACTGAACCTGTTCAGTGATCGCTGAAGAACTTGTATTGTAATTCAATCAGAGACAGCGATACTTCAAGAAGACAACACTCACACTAAAGAACCTTCAGCTAATGTCGATGACTGAATCTGAAGATTAGAGAATGGCAAGTACGTGATCTGAAGCGGTACTCAGTGATTACAAGCTTGTCTACATATGTGTGAAGTCTGCTCAAGCCTCAGTGAATGCTGAAGAGACCTCCAGGTAATTCCAGCGTTCAGCGATCAAAGGAAGCTTACTTAGCACGATTGTTGTTGTCTTGTCCTTATGCACACAAAGGACAAACTCATACTGTTAGGACTAAAATTCAGTGTTAAATTGTATTCGTCTTGAAAGTTAATTTTGTCTATAATTGTATTAAAGTCACCGTGTTTGACTTTTCATAGATAGTTTGACTTTGACTTTGTTTATATGTTTGACCCTATATAAAAGGTAAGTTGCTTGTATTTTTAGAGGGATTCTTTCATTGTTAAAATCTGAATACGTAATAAAAGTTTTACCATATTTGGGTGTTGATCTTTTCTCTCTACTCTCTCATGTGTTCTTGAATGAAATATACAGATCTGCCATTGATTCATTGAAGATTTCTTGAAGATTGATTATAGTGGGAACAATACATACCCTTCTAAATGTTGGTACGGTACGGAGCCGACTAGTTAACTCTATTGCCCATCAACTTTAGGTAATGATGTCTGCTCATGAATAGTGCTTTTTGTACTATTCACTATAGCAAAGAATAAACACTTCTCTTAAGGCTTGACACGCACTCTAACCCTATCATTTTGCTTTGAATGAACATTTAATGCACTGGGTATATATAGAAGTGTTTCTTCCCCATGGTGCGCAAATCACTCTCTAAACCTAATTCTTACTTTGAGCATTTCCTAGCTTAAGTAAAAGAACTTTTCTTTTACAACATTTCTTTTCTCATTTGCTAAGAATTCGTGTGTAACCAAAGATTGTTTAGATAGGTTTTTCTTACCTTATCTTTCCGCAAATAGTCTTGTAAAATTTGTATTGATCTTCTCTATCAATATACATTTTAAATTTAAAAATATTGTGTTTGTATTCATCCCCCCTTCTACAAACTGTTTTACTTATCTTGTAGACCCTCAAGGGACCAACAATATCGCTGAAGTGTCTTTGATGTGAAAGTTGTCTTCGGAAGGACTTACGTTCTAAACAATTAAAATAAACAATTATTCAGCGATCACTAAACATACTTAGTCGCTGATATTCACTCAGATAGAACTTAAATATGTAATCACTAAGTAGACAGGGTTAATTTAATAGACAAATACTCAGTGATCATTAAGCAGACTCAATCACTGATATTTACTCTGGTAGAACTTAAATACATAACCACTAAGTATATAGGATCATCACCAAATCACTGAGAAATTTTGAATCAATAACCACAAACCATATCATAACTTGATATATTCTAAAGAGTTAACAAACTCAAAACATATATATATATATATATAGGGGCCTATTCAAGGGAGAACTGAGTTGTTTGTGGTAACTGTGAGAACCAATATTAACCACAAATCAATAGATAAATTAGGAAATTTATAAATTTGGTAATTTTARATTAAAATCTTAATGCAAGGATATTTTTGGTATTTTTAAACTCTCCTCTCTCCTCTCTTCTCTCTCCGGCCACCGTTCTCCGGCCTCCGGCCACCGTCCTCCGGTGATACCACTATGATACCGCTGTGATACCTAAAAATATTGACTCTGTTTAACAAAAGATACATTGTGATACCTAAAACTATTGACTCTGTTAAACAAAAGATACATTGTGATACCTAATCATATATAAGATGTATAGTGATACTATTGTGTTACATCTTCGATCGACCACACAAACGACATCAATGTGATACCCAAGCACATATATGATGCATTGTGATACCATTGTAGTATCACCGGAGGACGGTGACCGGAGAGAGAAGAGAGGAGAGAGGAAAGTTTTAAAATACCAAAAATAT